AGTTTCATTTATCCATTCATCCATCCATCCATCCATCTATCCATTCATTCATTCGAGTGTCTTACAATACAGAGAGTATAAATGCTGTGCCTCAGTCACACAGTCAAAGTGGAACTTGAACCTAATTCTTTCTTCTATGGCCAGCTCTCAATTCACAATGCCAAGCTGTCTCTAAAACTTTCATAAATCATGCAAAATAGTGTTGACACTTGTTATTCTACTCAATGACAACTTCCTAAGCTTCAAAGGACAAAAATACCTCACAATACAGTTTTTGTTGTCCATGTTCTATTAGAAGTAAATAGATCAACCCTTAGCAAAATGGCAATATATCAAAGTTTCCTACATCCTCCTCTTATACTTTTTCTCCCTCTCTTCAGGCACTCAATATTTTCTCACTAACCTCTCTACATCCAAACAGGAAAGATTCTTAAAGTCAGTCGTCAACCAGACATTGAAAGCTTTTCTAATTTGATGCTTGCAATTAACATTTGCAAAACTGAGGAAGAGGATGGAAGCGGACTTCTTAATTTAAATGTCCTCTTGACATAATCCTGCTTTAGTCCTTCAGTGTAATCAATCAACTCATCAGACATTCCCCTCCAGACAGTGTTTCTGAAAAAGACTTTCTAGAAGCTTTCCCAGCTGGAGTTACTCTGACTAGAAAAAGCTTATATTCTGTCTTCTCTGACTTTTCCCAGGGCCTAGGAATACAGAGGCTACCATGATTTAACACAGGTGAACTCAGCAGGCTTCCTTACTCCAACACCTTCCTCCATCCTCTTCCGACTTGAGTACAGGTCAGTCTTCCCCTCTTCTTACCCCCAACCTTAACTCTTTTTTTTAATGCCCCTAAATTCTTAGATAAACAATGTTGCCATTATTTTAGGCAATACTTAATGAAATTTCCATATCACAACCCTTTTTTCCGATGTCCTTAAATTTCCTTTTTCTGGAAATGGACTTTATAACAGCAAAGTATAGTTTCTATGCAAATAAGCATGACATCAATAGAGCCCTGGGTTGGAAATGACTGCAGGCAACACAGTACTCATTCTTTCAAACAGTACCCCATCTCCCCATATCAGAATTAGTAGGATCACAGGATCAGAGACTCTGAGCTGGAAGGACTTTATTAGATCATCTAGCTCAATGTTCCTCATTTTACAGATGCAGAAAATGAGGTCCAGAAACTTATCCAGTTCTGTCCTAGCCAAATAGAATATAGAAATGGACCAAGTGGGTCTCAAGGGTCAGGGCTAGTCCACTTTGAAGGAGACTGGAGAACTACAAGGCTATTGATACATTGGAGCATATATATTCTAAAGGCATAGTTTCTTATTAGATGGAAAAGTACAAGTTTTGAGCTGGAAGGAAACCGAGATAATATCTAATATGATTACAGATGTTACAGCTGGAAGGTACTTTAGAGATCATTTAGTCCAGCCCTCTTGCTTTGCAGATGAGGAGACCGAGGCCCAAAGACATGAAGTGATATAGGCAGCAGGCAGCAAAGCTGGCTGCACCCCCAGATCTGGGTCCAGGGCTCTTTCTGCTATACCAAACTCTCCAATAACCAAATTTAACAAATGAGGAGCCTGGTGATCAGACAGACTAAATATGAGTTGAAGGTTTCTTTTCTCTGTGGAAATTAGGGCAGGGAAGGCCTCAAACCTCACATGATGTGAAACAAAAAGTACTGGACAGAGAGTCTTCAGTTCTCTTTGCTCTTCCATTCACTAGCTGTTTGAGCCGAGATTTAAATCAAACTCTCCGCTCCAGGACACTGCTAACCATTGTTTTTTTCTAATTCCCAATCCTTTTCCCCCCATGTCAAGCCCGATGCATATAAATATCCTAAATCACCAAGGAAAGACTAAATAGTGTTCAAAAATTTTTATTTACTTAGAAAAGTGGTCTAATAAATACATGTGACTTCAGGAGGTTTAAAACTGAAGGTTAAAGAAACGAAACTTCAGTTAGCTAAAATTTCAATTAGCCAGAACATTCCATTGGCAGAACATCCTGTTTAACTTAGATTTGACTTTACTAGTATAACATTAAGAGTTATTTTACGAGATTTTATTTTATTGGTCACGCAGGGTGACTTGGGCTCTGATAGAACCATATTATTCATTTTGGCCACTTTCATAATCAGTTTTTATTAATGTAGCTAGAATAGTTTTGTGATGGTCACTAGTGTGCAAGGTAGTCTAAACTATGGTGCCCTAGACTTTTGGGAAGCTTCTTTTGATACCTCTGAAATCTTGACATTAAAGTGGATAAGGGCAAGAGAGGTCTGACAAGAAAGTCCCTAATCAGGGGAGATAGTTTTAATCCTCTTTTTGATGTAGCAGCCGAGGCAGTGGCAAGTGGCTCAGAGATCAACAGGACAATGCGGAATTCTACAGAACTCTTAGCCTAAATGACAAATGTGGTGTACCACAGTCCACGTACAACTCCAGACACATTCCCTGTACTCAAACCAGAAGGACCCTAGTTCAGGCTCTCATCACTTCTTAATTCCTTGACTATTATAATAGCCTCCTAGGTGTTTTTTATCTAGTATCTCCCTTCAATCCATCAACCAAAAAGAATTTATTAAGCACCTTCTATGTGCTAGGAACTATTAAGCACTAGAGATATAAATCTAAAAGCTAAGCAGTCCCCATCATTCTACAAGGAAGATACCGGGGAATGGTGGCTAGGGAAATGAGCTTTGATCTGTGGAATTATTGAGGAATAGAACTGATAGGGAGGTAGACGGTCATGCTTTTTCCAGTAGCAGTGGTAATTATCAATTTCTTTTTCTCTGTACAAGAGGTGGAAAGGGGAGGGAAGTCTGTATACAATGGTATGGGGATACAGATACCAAATCTACAAGATGTTCCTGGTCTGAGGCCCTGGTATCTTGGTGGATGATGGTTGGATGGAATGAAATATAATTTGAGGCTGGTCAGATAGAATGGGACAAAGTGAGGACCGATTCACTCAACCTCCAATCCAGGACTTGTTCTTCATCCTTCGTCTTGAAGAGGATTAATGACAACAGGAGGGTGGTGGTGGGATGGTAGAGATACCATCATCCACATGGCTGCCATTAAAACTCAGGTCTGACTATATCATTCTCCTGCTCAAGAAGCATCTGATGACTTTGGGATAAAGTATAAACTCCTCTGTCATTTGAAACCCTCCAAAGTCAGCCCATCTTTCCAAGATGATTGCATGTGACGTCCCCTCTTGTACTATATGCTCTATCCAAACCTACACACGTCAGTCCATCTCCTACTTTATGCCTTTCTATTGGCACCCTGCGCCCCATGCCTAGAATAGTCTCCTTCAATTCTGCCCCTGGGAACCCTCAACTCAAATGCAACTACTTCAAGAAGCTTTTCTTGATTTCCCCAATTTTAGTGTCACCTTCAAAGAACTATGTACTGTTCTCAACCTGGAAAATGTTCGCTTCTTCATGTCAGGAATGATCTCACTTTTGTATTTAAATCCCCAGCACCTATCAATCATAGTAGGCACTTAATGCTTATTGATCTTATTTTTTTGTAGATGAGGCATCTGATGCTCTAGAAATATTAAATTACTCTTCCAAGGTCACACAACTAGGCAGGGGCAGAATTATACTAGATTCCAGAGCTCCTGCCTTGCAGTCCTGGATTCCCATAGGGCAATAGGTTGCCTCTACAGTGTAGGAGTTCTCAATCTGGGTCCAAGAACTTGTTTTTTTTTTGTTTTTGTTTTTTTAAACAAAAAAAATTTGTTTTTAAATAACTGGATTTCAATAGAATTGGTTTCCTTTGTAATTCTATGTATTTTGTTTTATGAAATTAAAAACATTATTCCAACAAGTGGTCTACAGACTTCACAGGAGTGCCAAATGTCAAAAATGCCTGCTCTTCAAGGATGAAGCCAGTGACCATCCTAAAGACTAACAATGTGAAGAAATGAGTGTAACGTAAAAACGTGAACATTCAAAAGAAGTGTTTTTTTGAAAAAAAAAAAGAATGAACTTTATAATCAGACAGGTATTTTATTTGTATGTGTTTTGACTTTATAATTCTTGGGGTGAGATTGGCCTTGGGTGTGTGCCATTACTGCACAAACCTACAATGGTACCAGCATGATTATAACTGTGTCAGCTTCAAGCTAGAGTTGTCTCAAGTGAACTGAATTGGATATGCTTCATGAAGAATCAACCACAGCTCATGAGGAAATATGGAAAGAGGATGTGAGGAGGCACAGTAGAGAGAGTGGGGTACTTGGACTTCTGTACCTGAGTTCAAATCCTGAATCACTTTACTAGCAACACTCAGAACTCAGTTTTCTCATTTATTTAATGGGGTAATAATAGTACCTACCTTCCAAGGCTGTTGTGAGGATCAAAATCAATCCTCTTTGATAACATTTTGCAAACCTTAAAGTACTATCATAATCAAGTGATGTAGAACAAATGAGCAGAACCAAACAATACACATTTACCATAAATATTCAGAATGTCACAAAATTCTTAGTTGCATGTTTAAGCTATTAAAGTTTTAATATGCACTAAGATTTTTGGAATACCTTGTATTAAAAATACAAACAAAAATTTTAAAAAATCAAAACTAAAAAGAAGGAAGAAAAATGGGGTCAAAGATGTGTATAGAAGGGGATACAGGAAAAAAAGCATTTTCTTTTTTTGTTAATTTGTTTGGTCCTATCCTATTAAAGGCTAAGGATTTGGGGAAAGATTCTCTCTCACACTTTGTGGTTTTTTTTTTATGACGTTATTAAGTTTATAATAATCTTTTCCAGGAATCAACCACAAACTTTGAATTTTCAAAATTCTTATTTTGGCAAGTCAAACTTAGGGAATAGCAGTATACAGCAAGTACTTTTCAGTCATAATAATCATATTTACCTTATATACTCTTGGAACTTCTTGAAAGGAGATAAATCTCATAAATCATCTTTAATCATTCACACTTTATAAATAAATGACTCATTAATTATCTTTGGATATAATTTAATGAAATAGTAGGCAAGCTACAAAAAAGCATACATCTATTTAGGGACTGTTTTTGATGAAATGATTAATACCTCTAATTTGAGACTTAATTGTGAACCTAAGGGATATCTGTTTTTTCCTTTGTTTATCTACTTTTGTTCAGTGTTAGAGAAATGGCAGATCTCTTATTTGGGAGTTAAAACAAAACAATGCCTTTCACATTCAACCACAATCAAAATGCCACTGCTTACATACTGCAAGATTTTCTTAGCTCTGAATGAAAGGACTACTTGTATGCATTTCTAGATTTCTCACTGGCTCCACTCTGGGAGTGAACATAGTTAACTGAGACATCACCAGAGTTAGATATGCTCCAGATGCTTAATTCACTTGAGTATACTCTTTGCAGACCTCCAAGGTAGCAGAATTTGGGCTGACTACAGAAGCGCCAAGTCTCCCAACCAGGATGAGGAAGGCTGAGAAGTACAAAAAAGGCACCTCACATTTTCTTCAGAGATCTTGCAAACTGAATGAGGGAATGATATGGAGATAACTGTATGTAACCTCTGACAGTAGAATTCTTTAAGGGAGAAGTTAAATAGAAAAGGATCCATCAGACTTCCTTTAAAAGGAGAAGTTGATGAAAATATGGACAAACAGTTAAATTTAATTTTCATTTAAGGCAGTATCCTCTTCAAGTTTTCACTCTGGCTTTGAATGAAAGCCAATTCAAAAAATTAAATAATACATTATCTGGAGAAAAATCTTCAACTTGATGTAAGAATCATCATAGGAGCTACATTAGCTCTCACAGAGTTTATTACGTTATTTTCATTTCTTATTGCATATACTGTTACATGCCCTTTATAGATCATTATTTATATGTATTAATACATATATACACGGTATGCACAGATGAGGATTTCTCCATATTATCATGAAGATTACATCTTCCTCTTTTGATGAAATTCAGCAGCATGCAGTGTAATATTTGATGTGCAAAGTTATTGTTTTATAAAGTGAAAAACTACTTAGGTTTAACTGCAAAGGGAACATGATCTTTATTGGTTGATATGCAGAGGTTAATTTTGGTTTTATGCAGAGATTGCATAGTTCATGATTAGTTTCTAATGAAAAACTAGATGTGTTTTGTCAGTGACCTAGAAGAAGATCAAGTGATAGTGGCAAAGAGAAAAATCTGAAGAAGAGGCATGACTTTTAAAGTGGAAAGGTCAGCAAGCACAGCCTGAAACAAACAAAAAAGAATTGTCAGATAGAAATGCTATAACCATGAAAATATAAGAAATAAGACAATAGCAAATGCCACAGTAATGACATATTAGCATCAATAATAATCTTAATTCAATTATTCTGTACTATATTAACACTTATTTTTCTGTCTAGATTTTTCAATTTCAGTACATATGCAAAAAGCTAACATGCTGTCAGGAAGTGAGCTGGTCTTTAACCCAACTTGAAATGTACAAGATAGCATGGGTTTATAAGAGGTCTAATATTTCAGTTTGTTTCTATAAATAAATGCACATTATGAATCCTCATCCTGTTATACTAGTATAAGGAATGTATGACTTTAAGTGAATCGTTCTGAGGCAGCAATAATATTTAATCAATTGCAAGACTCATACACATATGTATATGTATGTGTATATATATATACATATATATATATATATACACACACACACTCCCTTTAAAGACAGAATATTGGTAGCTATTTGGGAGATATAATTTATATTTCTATAAAATAATAGATTTAGTAACATTGTAGCTCATAGTTCTGAACCATATTTAGGTATAAAATATACCAGAAGAAAATTGTCTTTAAATTATTGGCAGAGAATTTTTTAAAAAATCAATTTAAAACAAGTACTAAATATATACATATATGTAGATAAAATTCAAAGCTGTAGCTCTACAGCTCTGTTTACTCATGTCTTTTTGTCCTGTGGATATAATACACTGATATGAACAATAATGACAAGAAGAATGAAAGCAGGACATCCACAACGTAGTAGCCATACAGCGCCTACGATGGTCACGCGACACCACCCCAAGGTAAGTCTTTCATCATGGAATGAGAAGACTTAAGTGTTTAAATACACTCCTGAGCTTAGACCTTTCAGCTTTTATATAAATTAAAAAATGAAACAGTAATAATGCGTGCTTTATGCATCTGAAGCTTAAACTGCTTTGGCTCTCAATATTTCAGAAAGTATTTCAGTCTCTTCTCCTCTAAGTGAAACTTATCCTTACTTCAGCTGCAGCCAGCGATGTCACCTCCATCAGGTTTACTGCTCGGAAAGCAAACACAGCAGCTGCCAGAACTGAAAAAGAATGCACAATATTTTCAACTGATGATCTATTGATCAGTTCAACACATTTACCTTGATCAAGCACATACTTGCTCTGATTTTGAATGAGAAGACTTGACAATTTATGTAAATCAAATTCTATCAACTGGGTTTTTTTTCCCAGAACTTCCTCTCTTCCACCTGCTGCCCCCTAAGAAAAAGCTCATTAAAGTTAAATAAGAAAGTGATGCTTTTGAAAGTTCAAGTTATCCTACATATCTTTCTCTTGAAATCAAATAATCTTTTTACATTTAAATGACTCTATCTTGATAGGTTCATACTGGTAATCCCTAAATATTAGAAACAAAATGGAGGAAGGTCTCTCCAGCTCCCAGGATAGATCCTCTATGGAAGATTAATGAAAAGATGTGGAGGACAATTGCACCGGAAGCAAATGTGTGGAGAGGTTCTGATCTGCACAGGTGTAGGGAGCACTCATCCCAGTAAAGCTACACAGGAGGAAAATATTAACAAGAAGAGAAACAAAAACAGTAATTTCCCTAATAGCATTAAATTTTAAGATGCCCTCAAAGCACTGAAGTTTGAGATACAAGTGATCAAAAGTTTCTTTAAAAAATATTTCAAAGCACGACATACTCACTATGTAATATTTACTGAAAAACAAAGACATTTAAGAATAGCTAGAAGAAATAAACATTTTGGGTCAAGAGGGTGGCAAATGAACGAAGGCAAAAGTAGATATGTAAGGTATTTACAAATGACACAGGGAGGTAAAATTTTAGAAGAATATATCTGTAAATATGATGTAAAAGAACAAACATGAACAACTATGTGCTAACATGAGGAGGAACCAGTTGCTCTTATTCAGGCAAAAGGACAATAAGAAAAAAGTGTGATATGTTAGAGCAGAAGGCCTTTCTTGCTTTATTCAGACAATAGGGCAGCCCAGAAGAGTAGTTCTTAAACTTTAAGATTGTGGAAGAAATCGCTATTATAATTTGGGGACAGGTCCTGGGAACAGAACTGCGCAAGACTGCCAAGTGTGGTATGGTGGAAAGCGCACTGGATCAGGGGTCACTCCCTCTAGGTTCTAGAACTGGTTCTGCTGAACTGACCTTGGGCAAGTCACTCAATTACTTTGGGCCTTAGTTGCTTCAAATGAGATGACCACTGAGGTCTCTTGAAGGTCTAATTTCTATGATTCTATGGTTAATATGTCATACCATGACACTTTGAGAAACTAACATTTCACAGAGCTTAAGGTTCTGTACAGCACAGTGTGAAAAACAACAGCTTAAAGATAGGTGAACTATTTATTATCATCAATAAGATCCAAGGACTACTATAAAGAGTTTTAAGTTTCTAAAAGTGAGGCACACCTAGCAATGTCAGAGGGGAAAGCCATTATGGTCTGACTTGGAAGTATCCTAGTCTGATATAGAATAAAGTGATCCCCTTAAAATGTACATATTACAGTCAATTCTTTTTGGTTCCAATATGCAAGAAATTACATTTTTAATTCCTGACAATTAGAAGAAAACACTTACAGTGACATCTGTTTATGCCACCAATAGATTCAAACACCTATAGTCAATACTAATATTAATGAATGTTCTCTCAGGTCACTTTAAATGAGAGTATGGATTAAGAGAAAAAGAAATATCCCTCTTTCTGCTAAGGGCAACACTATCCTAATTACCAAAGTTTAGAGCCTCAAAGTCATGCTCAATCTTCACTATCTCTCATCCCCATAGATCTAGTCATTGCCACATTACGTCAATTTTACCTCTACAACCCCTCTTGTGTCCACCCCATAAGCAAACAGCAATCAGCCTAATCCAGGCCCCTATAACCTACATCCTGGACTGCTGCCACCTCTTGGTTGGCTTCTGATTCCAGTCTCTTTCCTTTTCAATCCCTCTTCCACAGAACTGACAAAATAAACTTCCTGAAGCTTACAAGCCACCCCCTTCTATTCAAGAACTTTCAGAGGATCTCTATTACCTTTGAGATAAGAAAACAAATTCTTCAGTTTGGCATTTAAAGCCTGGCAGTCTGAGTCAAGCCTACTTTCCCAGATTTACTTTATGCTGTTCTCTTTTATGTGGCTTACTTGCTTTGCCTACAACTCAATATTCCATCTCCCACCTCCAAGCCCTTGCATAGGCTGTCCCCCATGCCTGAAATGCACTCCTTCCTCACCTCTGCCTCTTAAAATCCTTAGTTTCCTTCCAGTCTCAGTTCAGGTGTCACCTCTCTAGGGGGTCTTTCCTGATCCCCTTAGGAGTGAGTGTTCTTTACCCATGCAGGGTAACTAGTAGAAAGTCCAAGTGAGCTATATATAGTGTGGTTAAAAGATAATGAGGAGAAAGACATTATTTTAAAAACTGTAAACAGATAAAGTTAGACTTTAGAGTCACTGACTATTAGGCTTACAAAAATATCAAATATAAACTATTTCTTTGGACAAACAATTTTTTTCCAATGTCAGTATCTTGACCTCCATTTTTATTTAGTGGAGACTACAGCAACAGCGAGACAGGCAGACTGGGTTTTTTTCCCCCCCTTCTATAGTTGCTGAATGTCCATGAAAGCTGGTCTGATCTATGAAAATTCTCTTTGTTAGATCAGGAAGGAGCTCTAAAGTGTAGGCAATTAACTTTTTCAAAGGTAGGAGGGGAAGAAAAAATAAGGGCAGCTCACCAACTGACCTCAGGATCTGAAATGCTTATGTACTCAATATCTTTATTTATCTTGGTGTCACATCACAGAATTTCCTTTCGGTCTGCTGTAATGTTAGGCCTGTCCAGCCTTTCCTTGGAATAGCACTGTTTGCTACAGAGCCAAGATACACAATTTCTCGTATTTTTTGAATATCTGTCAACTGAACTAAGGCCTTGACATGAAGAGTGGTAATTCTTTTATTTCCTTTTGACTTTACAAACTACACTCAATCTTTTATCACTAAACAACTGCATCAATAATATTGCTTAGATACTTTTTCTTTAAACTAACCCCCACAATCTTGTACTCATAGAGAATTAGACCCAGAGATGATCTAGTCCAATTATGTGACCTTCTAATTGGGGAAACTGAGGCCCAAGGATTAAATGACTTGCCAAAAGTTATATATTGAGATAGCAGAATAATGGCTAGAACTCCAGTCTTCTGAACCTCTACGCAATGCTCTTTTCTGTGTAACACAAGAAAAGCTCTGGATGAAGTCACAGTTGTTCAAATTGAACCAGATTCCTAGAAATATCAGTATATTAGGGTTACACTAAGATCAGCAAAGGTTCATATTTATTTATTCACTAAAAATGTATATTATAAACAACACTAATCAGCACAATTTACATAAAACAATCTCTTCTCATGTACAGCTGAGGGTAACACCTGCAACTATTGTTCCTCATTTTCAGAGCTCCCAAGAGTTTTCCCTTTTGATTTTCTGAAAAGCAAATGGGAAATTGGGGTGGGAAAGGTAATGTTAAATCAGTTCCTTCTCTCCTCATAGGTCAGAAGTCATTTGTTTCAATATCTTACACAACGGAAGAATTCCTTCTACAATGTCTCTGATAAGTGGTTATCCAGCCCCTACTCATATGTTTTTAGTTGTAGGGAATTTGCCACTTAATTCATTACACTTAGGAACAGCTCTGATCATTAGAAAGCTCTTCCTTATGTTATGTTCTCCTTTGAACTAAAATGTGGTGCCCAGAAAGAACTTCAGAACACATCTGGAGTACATCCAAAGAAGGGGTCCAGGACAGGAATGGGCTGGAGGGTCAAAGGAGAGCATAATGGCTATCTTTAATATTTAAAGGATTGTTTTACAAAATAGACTTGTTTTTTATATAGCTGCAGATGGCAGAACCAGAAGCTATTGGTAGAATCTATAGGAAGGAAGATTTTAGCTCAATATAAAAAGGAACTTTCAATGCCAGGGATGAAATCCTTAATAATGCAACTTTATTAATAATCTAATTTTCACATTCAGAAGCCTTGGCAATCTATCCATCCACATATGCACGTATGTACATGTGTGTGTGTGTGTATATATATATATATACACACACATATATACACATGAATGTATATGCACATGTGCAAGTATATATATGTATATACATATACAGACACACACACATACACATATAGCTACATACATACCTATACTTAGGCCATTTGTAGTTTCAAAGGCATGGTTGGTAATGGAATATAGAAACCTCACTTTTTGAAAAATTTGATTTTACTATAATTCTTCCTATAGGAAACTATAATAAAATAGAATACTATTTCCACAACATTCCTAAATTTTTCACAACAAGAAACACTGTCCATATATTGGAAGATGAAAGAAGAGAAAAAATAAAGTCTCAATATCATCCCCAAAATGTATTTACTTGAAGGCTTAGAATTTAATAATCCACTTCTGGAAAAAGGGATGCTGTGAAAAAAATGCATCCTTCATAGAATCATCAAATTTTAGAACTGGAAAGGACCTCAAAAATTCACCTAAGTCCATCCTTCTCATCTTATGGTTTAGAAAACTGACTCCCAGAAAGAAGCAGCTTGCCCAGACTAATGGGCTCATTAATGGCAGAGCCAGGATTAGAATCACATCTCCTGACTCCCAAAGTCCAATGCTCTTTTTATTCTATTGTGCTATTTGTGTGATGCATTTGTGCATTTGATTTTCCTGATGACTCCAATTACATTCAGCCCCAGATCTATTTAGCACAAGTGAAGCAGTGAAATGTAATTAACTGAGTACTTTATACCCTGTGATAAAGCTGCTTCTTCCTTCCCCTCTCCATTTCTCATGCTTGCACGTGTGATAACCTTGGTGTGATCAGGCCAAAGCCTCATGCAAACGTGTTAAACAGGAGTAAGCTGTAGGTTTAGTTTATTGTTAAATAAGGAATATCCATGACAGACCACAAGAGTTTATAAAGAAAACAATAAACAAATATGGAACCTAGATTGCACCATTAGAGAAAGAGAAACAGTTTAAGTTAGTATAAACTACAATGCAGAAAAGACATATTCTCAGGTAAGCAATGGGTCCCAGCTTGGATGCTGGAGCCATAAACTCTCAGACAACTAGGGTCAGCTGGATCAAGAGGAATGAGATAATAGAGGGAGCACTGCACCTCAATACACCTGCTCCAATACTTATTAATTATGTGACTATAGGCGAGTCCTGGCACCTCAGTTTTCTCAACCATAAAATGGGAATAATAATACTTGCATTACTTGTCTTATGGGGTCATCATGAAGAAAGCACTTTGTAAACTTTAAAGTTCTATAAAAATGTGGATTACTATTATTACCTGGATTCTAGTGACACAGACCTTTCATGTAACAGAGAATCACTGAATCTCAAGCTTCAAAAGAGGTTATCTAGACCAATTTCTGTCTGAAGAGGAGTCCCTTATATAACAAACCTGAAAAATGGTTATATAACTTCTGCTTGAGGTTCTCTGGGGATGGGAGAACACTATCTTCTGTCCCCCTGCCCCAAAACAAAACAAAACACCAGCTCATGCCCTCAAAGAGCTTACATTCAAATGGGGATATAAAAAACCAAATAATGATAAGCAAATACAAGGTAGTTTAAGGAGAGAATACTAATAACTCGGGGAAACAGGGAACATGATTTGTTTAAAAAGACCTGAGTTTCCTTGAAGGAAAAAGATTCTTAAGAGTTGGGGTTGAGGAGTGTATTTCAGGCATGGTGGACAGAAGTCAGAAGATACAATGTCAAATTTGAGAAACTGCAAGAGTGGCTGGAATACAGAAAAAAACAGGTTGGAGACAGACAGTGAAGGGCTTTAAATGAACATTTTGGGGCATCCTATCTTTGCCTTCAGAAGATTGTTTTGGCAACTATATGGAGGATAATTGAAGAGGGGAGACAATAGAAGCATGGAAACCAGTATTCCAGGAGAGAAATAGTAAGAGCCTGAACTAGAATTGTAGTTCAGGGAGTGAATGGACAAGGAGATTGGTAAAAGAAATGTAATGGAGGTAGAATGTAGTATAATAAAAGGGAGTAACTTTAGCTTTAAAAACTCTATTCATTGATAACTTGAGAAACTGGGAGGCCCATTAGCCTAATAAAAGTGATAAATCCTTAACAGCTATAATAAAATAATCCTTGATTATCTCAAGAAGAGTGAGTTGCTGTCACAATGAAATAGTAAGAGGAAATGAATAGAACTACTTTTCTGAGGTATTGAGTAGAGGCAAACCCTGAATTCTGGTGTGACAATGTAGACTAAGAGCCCTTAATTTTGCTTAAATAACAGAAAAAGTTAGAACCAAGTTCAGATATCATAGACCTACACAGAACTACAAAGTAAAAAAAGGATATTAAAAGCCATTAAATCCAAACCTCACCCAAAGTATAAATCATATATATATGATTTGTCCTTGAGAAATGTTATACAGCTTCTGTTTGGATATATTTAGTGAGGAAGAACTCATTACTTTTCAGGGCAATTCAGTCTTTTAACAGCTCAATTAAAAGGAAAATTTTCTTTATGTGGTTAGGAAGTTGGGGGTTTTTTTGAGGGGAGAAAGGAATAAGAAACAGATTTTTTTTTGACTATTGAGTAAAAATCTGCCTTCCTATAATGAAGCTCTTAAAGGTTCTTTAATGACTTTCTCTTTAAAGTCACTGCCACTTATTGATCTTAGTTCTGTCATCTGATTTTAAGCTGAACAAATCTAATCCTTTGTCTACAAGACAACCCTTAAATATGTGAAGACATGTTCGTCCTAATTCTTTTCTTTTCCAGACTAAACATTTCCAGTCCCTTCAACCAATTAAGTCATGTTTTTGAATTGCATCTCCATTCTGGGTCACCCATTTCTGGATTCACTCTAAAACTGTGGTGCCCAGAAAGGGGTAAAACAATGCCTTTGTGGTCTCACCAGTTGGGTGAGAGCGACATTTCTTTCCCTCAGGACACTCTACTCTGAGACCTCATGACTGAGATGTCTGAATTCTTGAAGGCTTTGTCAGGAAAGGGTAAACTCTGGGAGGTACTATTCAACTGGAGAGGTTCTAAGCAAGTGTAGGCAAGACTGTATGTCTGTTTTCCCAAGACCCATCTCACTAAACTTAGAGAAATTCATCACCAGACTGGCAGCAGAGTGATACATTTTCTTTGGCCCCAGAAACTTCTACTAAATTATAGAGGTGTTGTGAGCCAAGTCATGAAGGTAGCACTCACACAATGATGAAATTACAGGTTTAAAAAAAATTTCAGAAAGAGAACATGAGCTTTTGGGGATGGCATATCATGGTGCGGACTAACATTGAATTTGCTGTCTATCAAAACAGCCTAGGTCTTTTTCACATCAACTGTTTTATAGCTACATTTTCTCTATCCTTTATAGTCTGATCTTCTTTATAACATTTACTATCTATTTCTCCTATCTACTTCCACAGGTAATTTTTTTTATGAAGTGAAGGATTTGATATTTTATCCCTATTAAATTTAATCTTAATATTTAATAATTTAATTTCACTCAATTAAACAATTATTAATGTCTACTATCACTATGCTAGATGGACAGAGTTTTAAAATCAGAAGGGACTTAAGAGTTACATATTACATATGGCAAATTCATTTTATAGATGAAGAAAAGGAAGCTTTGAGCTTGGTTAAGATTTCAAAAGACAGCATCAGGGATGGAACTAGGATCTAGGTTTCCTGTCTCCTATTTTAGAACTGTTTTCACTACATCATGATTCTGATTAAAATACTGTAAATGTCTACAGATGAGGGACAGTCTGTATGAGTATTTACTCTACATAAAGAAAATTATTGTCCTCTTTTTGGATACATATATGTTTTACAAATAGACATTTCATATTACCAGCAAGAATTTCCAGAGAGTTGTATCCTAGGATTCTATCCCATAAAAGCAAAAGCTGATCCGTGGCTAGGTAACCAGAGAATGCACGTACCATCCACTTAAATGATATACGAAGTCTGTAATGAAGGGAAAAAGGAAGAAAGTGCCAGCTACATATCTCTTCAAAAAAATTAAATACTCAGAATAAGACTAAATCATTCTATAGTTAGGAATACTTCTTGCAGAGTCTTGCAAATATACCTAGGAATTAAAAATGCAACTATTCTTGGGAAAACAGAACTGCATAGTCGAAGAATTCTATACCATATTATTACAGTATGCAGGATTAAAATATTAGAAGGTTGAAAAGTACCTGCTAAGATCTTTAGGTCAGCCATGAGACATTCTCCTTTTATTTTCTACTTTTCAGATTATACTGATTAATAAATGGAGGGTGAATAAAAATGAAATATACAGGCTATATTAAGATCAGGTGCCATATTCTCCATGAATCATTTCTTGATCATTCCAGCTAGAAGTGATCTCTTCCTTAACCATGCCTTCAGTCACACTGGTCTGCAAACTCAGTATCATCCCTGACTCATCATCCTCATTCATTAACAGATCCAATCAACTGCCAAATCTTGTTATTTATATTTCCACAATATTTATTGTTTTCATCTCCTTCTCTCCATTCTCATAGTCACTACTGTAACTCAGACTCTCACTACCACTTGCTTGATATTGCAACAGTTTCTACCTGGTCTACCTCATTTCCTTCAAGGCTTAGTTCAAACACTTTTTTCTGATTCTCCCCCAATTATTAGAGCTTTCTGTCAAAATTATTTATATCTCTTCTCTCTGTCTCTGTCTCTTTCTCTCACACACGTATGTACGTATATGTAAAGTGTGTGTTTTTAGATCTATACCTCTATATATCCATCCATCCATCCATCCATCCATCCATCCATCCATCCATCCATCCATCCATCCACGTTATCTCCCCTGTCTAAATTCCCTCCTTAGGGGAAGGGACTGTTAGTGCTAATTTTCTAACCCCATTTACTACCAGACTGGAAGCTTCTTGAGAGGAGACTGAATCATGCCTTACCTTTGAATCTTCAGTATCTACTGCAGTATAGTGTGCCTAATATATGTTTGGTAAGTGAAATACTCAATGAAATGCTATTCAAACAATTTGAAGGAAGAGTCAAACTATACCAAAATGGAATGAATACATACTTCCCTTAATGCATTATAGCAAATTTTAATCTTCATTAGTTTTGGTCAATCAAGGTATCATGGTACTCTCAACATCACACTTATAATTCAGTATTTGTTTCCACAAATTGTTTACTCATATGTGGCAAATATCTTTTATCATGAATAGAAAAGAATTCATTGTTGTATCTCTTGTACCAGACAGGAAATTCTTGGTAAAGAATGTATTAGGTATCTATAAATCCTTCCGTAAATTTTCAGAATATTTTGAAGGTATACTTTATTAATGAATAATTATTATTCCACTTAACTTAATGGTATATTTCTGTCTTGAAAGAGTTAATTCACCTCAAAGGATTTTCTTTTCCAGAAGATTCAGCTCAAGCACTGCTTCTGCATTAGACCTTTCCTGGTTTTCCCAGCTGCCAGGACCTTCCCTACCTCATATTTGCTTTGTACAAGTATAAGTATATACAACATACTTAAAAATGTGCATGTTGTCTCCCTCATTAGAATACATACTCTTTTGAGGACAGGGATGGTTTTGCTTTTGGCGTTGTAGCCTAGCTTAGTGTCTTTCACAGAGTATATGTTTAATAAATATTTGTTAATTGATAATTTGATTAATGTGGGAGTATGTTTCCCTATTACACAAATAAGAGAAAAATACTCACGGCTGAGCTCCAATTTCCCGTAGATGATAAAAGAGTTGTGGAAGATGAGTTTGAAGAAGTGTCTCAAACAGCAAACAGAGTGAAACAATACCCTAACATAATAATAATTCATTAAAATATAGTTATAGTACTTCAATTATTTCAAAATTATTTTCCAAGTTCACAATGAGAAAAAATCATGAATATTAATGTAAATATCACTTAAATATTTTAAATTTAAGCAGTAAAAACACAAGTGGAAAATCTTGTTAGTAAATCATTCACTGCATTGAACAAATGAGAAATTTCATTTGTCTTTTAAGTATATAAAGAGCTTATTATATGTCCCAGGATATCTCATTTTTAACACAACAGCCTCCCCACTGAAACAGATATGTAACATACAAATAGTCCAGGAAAAACACTATTGCACAGAACAGACTGTTATTTGGCCTGATATGTAAGATCACTTAGGCCATAGAGAAATTCGTTTTTTCTGGATACTTGCCAGTTTTCGGGTATTTCCCTGTCGCCTTCCCCACACCCTTTGCTGTCTCCCTCCATAATGGCTTTCCCCTCTTGTTGCCTCTCTCCTAGGAAAAAAATATTTCCTGTTGCTTTTACCACTCTTCCTATAATATACAACCTCCCCTTCCTTCCCTCTCTTACTCTGTCACCCCACCAGGAAAACTATTTGTTTGGTGGTGACATAAGGTAGTCATTAAACATGACTCTCTGATTAACCAGTTTAAAAAAAAAAAGGAAAAAAAAGTAATATTAATGTAGTATAAGAAACAACAGAAAAGCAGATTCTTTAGGAAACAATCTACAAATGCCTGAATCAAGACTCTGGCAGCTTAGCAATCTTTGAGGCTGATTCTGTAGGGGAAATTTTAATATTATTTTTTAGTTTCTCCAGGAAAAGAATTGTTCCAATTCTAAATTCATAGGGTTCACTGAAGACTCAAAAAAGAGGTGACTATCTGCAAGTCCTTACTATACTAGAAAAGAATGAGTGGGCCAAGGTGTGCTGAAATAGCCAGGCAATCAAGTAAGGTAACTGTAAGCTCAGCATGAAGGTAGCGATAGGAAATCTAAGAACTATTCATTGTCAATTCTTTCCATGTGTCTAAGGAAATGGTGATTGCAGAGGTTGCTTTGAACCCTGAAGTACAGAACTGTTCAGGAAATGAGGAAAGAAAATTTCAGGCTGCCCCTGAGGTAGAAGATGAGAAGAAAGATTTTATCAGTTCGACTTCCATTCCAGATAAAAATAGAGGAAGACAAAAGCAAAATCAAGTTATCCAAATGTTTTGTGTTCTAAGATGCTGGGCAGAATTTCATTGCGTGTATTTGTGTAATCCTAGAATCATCTCATAATAAAAGCTTTAGTTTGCAATAAAACAGTGTAAGATTAGGATGGTATAAAGATAGTGAACTCCTCTCCTACCTCCCACCTCCCACAAGCAAAAATGCATGTGATTAAACTAGATGAATACAGAGCAGATAATTCACTATAAGCACCTTCCTCAGGTTTCATGATGGCTCATTAAGTAGGATAGAAAAATCTTACTTTAGGAGATTTGGTCCCTCTCATGTGAATTTTATTCAACATTTCAACTGCATGGTCAAACCTACCTCTACATGGGTCAAGGAAGCTAAAAAACTAAATAAAAGCCCTGCTCATTCTAGTTGTTAGAAGTGGCAGGGGAAAAGATAGTAATAAAGACAAGGCAAGGACCAAAGAAAATGGAAAAGAGAGATTTTAAAAATTTTGTGCTCAATTTGTTTTTTACTTGCCTCTAAAAATTTAGCAAAGCTAAGGGAAAACATTTAAAATTACATGGCTAACTAGCCAAAATATCAAAACTTGGAAAACAAGTGACAAGTAATAACTTCTTAACTTGTCAATTGTCTGAAATACTTCATTTTCTCCAGAACCAAAAAGGCCAGTACACATGTGGCAAGTGTTTCTAGAACATGCTTTTATATTGAAATGATGTTTATAGAATTCTGAATTTGCATTCATGTTTCAATATGTAAAAGATGACACTTCTCCAAATCTAATAGATTAATGGCATTTTTTCTAGCTCTTCATAAAAACATTTACTTATATTTCCTCCCTCCTAAAACCACCCCATTGCCCTGATTCTATACCAGAATTATCGTGATCTGTTATTCAATATCGCAAATTAAATACTTAGTTTTATAATATTGTTTTAAGAAGTCTACGTAAATACAATTAGAGAAAATCTGCCACTATGTAGTCTTCTAATAAAAATTACAGATATAAACTAATTTGACTCAATTTCTAATGAACTTACAGAAGGATGAGAAGAGATGGAATGGAGTCTGAAGAAAAAACGCACATACATCTCACGGAATATCTGATACAATTTGGAAGGTTCATGGTACAGAAAACAAAGTGGAGCAACTGAAAGGATAAAAAAATTAATTGACAACATTGCAAACTACTAACTTAGTTTAATGAATAAAAATGCATGATGCACGTAAGTAAATAAATCCATACATTCACAATAATTGCACTCATCAAGAAGTAACAATCAAAATGGCTAATTACAACCTATGTTATTTTAAATTTTAGGCTATACTATTTAAAATCCATATGCTGGGTTCTGAAGCACATGTGAAAGCTACTATTTCTAAAAGAAGATACTATGTTTGGTCTGGCCATATCTGGTTTTTCTGCTATTACTAGATTTTTTTTTATTTAAAAAAGCAGAAATAAAGCATGAGTTAAATATAAGCCATCATAATCTACGCTCATCAGAAGTTGAAATAATCACATCTAGACAGTGGTTTTCTAGAGGACATTTTCAAATTCAAACTCTTAAGGAACAACAACAACAACAACAAAAGATAAAAATTAATTTTGTGTACAAGATGACTGACTGGAAGCTGATTTCCACATTGCTCTGTAAAGGAATCAGATTTGCCTTCCAACATTCGAACATTTTGGAAGAACAAAAAAAGAGTTCAAGATTCTATAGAACATTAGAAGTGGCATGGGACCATAGAGACCCAAAGATCCAAGTTCCTCTAATAATTGAGATAAGATTTCCCTCATTAATAAACTTATAACAACAACAACAATAATAATACTTAGCATTTATGTAGCATCTACCATGTTCCAGGCACTGTGCTAAGTGCTTTACAAATGTTATCTCATTTGAACCTCAAAAATGAGAGGTGCTAGGAGGTAGGTGCTATTATTATCTCCATTTTACAGTCGAGGAAACTGAGGCTGAGAGGTTAAATGTCTTGCTCTGGGTCACACATCTAATAAGTACTACACTACCTAGCTACATATAGTATGAGAGGATTAAACCTAGTACATTTAAATCTTCATATAAATGATTTTTGTTAAGTTTTTGGAATTTTTAAAACCTTAAAAATGAATTTAATTTAAAAATAAATGTTTAAGAAATAGCTTAGTTTAAAGAATAATACCAAGTTCAAAGAAAGCTGCTTTCAAACTTGCTTAAAACAAATCAATTGTCAAAAAGAACCTGGAACTATCAAACAAAGAAAAATTGAATGGTCTTTCACTTAATATGAAATCATAGCACAAGGCAGAGAAAGCCATAGTAGATATATCTATGCAAGTTTAATTTTGCACCAGCATATCAGGAAGTTGTAATTTTAGATAAGAACTAAACTATACTGGTAAAAAGGTAACATAAATTGGTTTTTGAGATTTTAAAATCCTTAAAAGTGTTATAATGAAGATTTTGGGGAGCAAAAACAATAATCAACTTGTGGCTCATAAATGCAAAACTGAATTCAGGAGATTTACTAGCTTTAATAAAATAAAAATGACCCATATTGTCAGTGACGTAAAACTGATTGGTAAGAAGCTCTAGAGCTAGTCACTAGTCTTGGCTAATAGCAGCAAGAAGTGAAATGAACTCATCAATCAGCCTCCTGCCTTTCTTGGTTTCTTTTCACTTTTAAAAAGTGAAAGAAAAAAATGATCAAATAAAAAATGCTTAAAGCAGGACAATTCCAACTCTCTGGGTTAAACAGTACTATAGTATGATGATTCTGTTTACCAAAACAGCGTAAGAAAACCAACACTAATAACTGGCAATGTTAATTTATTAGAAGGATTAGGAAAAATTAAGACAAACCAATTTTAAGGATAAATTTCTAAATACATGTAGTTATGGAGTTTGGTAAGCTACCCACCAATTTCATAAACAGGTAAAGGGTAAAAAGATGCTACAACATTCACTAACCATTTTAAATCTATTTATGATAGTCAAAATCAAGTACTATTTATTAAACATTCTTTGTTAGGTGTGATACATAAATTAGAAAAGATATGGTCCCATCCTCATGGACATCACAATATAAGGAAATAACATGGATGTAGCATGTGAATACCAGATACTTAAGAATGAATCTCTTTTTCCATTTGCTTTTGTAAGACTCCATTTCTGTAATTAGCAGATAGCTTCTTAGATACTAACACTTAATCTTAAAGTTTGAAAATTTTAAAACTATTATTTAGTGAAGGAATGCAAAAAAATAATTTTATATGTAATTAGAAAAAATACAACCTCTCCCCAATATATGTAACAGAGGCTTAAAGGGCCTACTAATGATTAACTAAATTCAAAAGAGCAGATTAATTTGTTTATGATTTATATACCAATCTACTTCTAAAAATGATTTGAAGAAGCAAAAATAGTAGAATTGTATTATGTTGAATTCTGTCACATAGGAACAGACACAGGAATAGAAATTGGACCTGTGTTTTCTTCGCTCTAAAGGATTCCTAGATAAGGAATCTCCTTCTCTCAGTGCAGGCTGACAACTTCTTTGTGACTTCTAGGTTTAGAGAGCTGTCTAGAGCATCAGGAATATAAATGACTTGTTCAGCATCACCCAGCCAGTATGAATCCAAGGTAAGACTTGAACCAAGGTCTTCCTTGATACAAGTCTAGGTCTCTAACCCCTAGGCAATCCTATTCTATTTGTAATTATAACATTTATTTAAAATATTCTACAAAAATCTTCTGATGGAGAGAAAATTTTCTTTGAATAAACATTCTCACCTGCCTTGCTCCCTTGAAATATAAGTGAAATTGGCATATGCTTTTTTTTCATCAATTTTAAACTAATCCCTTTCTTTGGAAAATAATTTTTAAAAGTCATGCAATACAACTTCACTAGTCTGTACATGAGGGGAAGACTGGTTGGTATAAATTTAAAAAAAAAATCTAGATCATCATATTTTTAATGAAGGAAATACAACTATTTCTTTCAGGTTCATAGGTTACCTAAAATTGAGTAAAGTGGTGACTTCTACAGCTCTTTAGCATATGATATTTTTAAGAATTATAATAATTATAATTAAAATAAGTATACAGATAAATGGATTCTGCTAAAGTAGTTGTGGATACTAGAAAAGTTTTTCTTAAATGCTTTAAATATCATCTCTGTTTACTTTTTATATAATGACTAATTTTGAATTAATGGGGTATTATTTACTTTGAAAATACCTAGCAATATTCAATTTTGTGGCATCAATCAGTGCCTTTAAATCATTAATGAACAGAATCAAAAGTTTCACTGTAAAAGTATTTCAAATCAACTTTCATGATCCAAATTAACTTTATTCAACACAAAATGTTAGGTTTAAACTTAATGACTAAAGGACAAGAATGTGGATTTAATCAAGATGTATTTGTCTTAATTTCCCTATCATGAAATCCTTTGTATTTTTAGAAAATGGAAATACATTAGAATTTCTCTATAATACTATCTGCTTTGGAGTTGTGGTAAAAGGTGGATTCAAATCTCAATGTGAAGCACCACAAGTTATTAAGTAGTTTTACCATTCATTCCTATTTCCTGAGACCTGAAAAGAGAATAATTGCAAGGTGCTTATGTATTTTTAACTTGAGTATAATCTGATATCTACTGAGTTTTAAATGCTTTATATTCACACCATCAACCTAGATTTTTTAAGATATTGAGCATTAATTTTTCATAAAGCAAAACATTAAATGATTTATCAACTCTTTTGCTAGAAACTATGAAATTAAGACTACCTACTGTAAACCAGATGATTAAAAACAAGGGGAAAACACCCCTTAGAAAGTGTTAGTCATACTAAATTCCAGATTTTAAAATTCCATGCTGGAAGTATATGATAGGCTTCCTCAAGCTGTCCCTTGTTTGTCACTCCAACCAAGGCCAGAAAGGCTCATTAGCTCCTCTTGTTCATCATTTGCTGGCATGGGATGACAGAGTGGCACTCAGGCCTCTCTTCACACGTACTTAGGGCTGTCTGCATACGTCAGTGTAACAGATGTAGTGCATACCAACAGCCTAAACAAATCATGAGATCAAACCTGATGCTGTATTTTCCTTTTAACATTTCCTGGTTCACTTATATTTTTAAAATTTCTTGGTGAGATTGGCCCTCAAACTCCAGAATCTTGAGTCATTTTATTTACTGTCCATTAAAACGAAATCTTGACATCAAACACACACACCCACACCCACACCCACACACATACCTTAACCCTATTTGTACTAACAATTCAAAGTAAATTTTTATTTGCCAGACAACTATTATAGTGGCAAAGAAAATGAACCTTTATTTTATTTTTTAATAAAACATGTAAACAAACAAGAAATTGGAGATTTATTGGCAGCATGGTTAACTAGCTAAGTGTGGGGAGTGGAATAAATGTGATTTCTTTGTTTAAAGTCAGTAAAAGTGTTGTGTAAATGTCTCTTTTAAAGCCCAACTTACCATACATTGAAAATCCATGGAAAGGGATTACTCCTACAAAATAAAAATGACAGAAGCAATTTAATAACATTCCATCCTAAAAATATGATGACATGTTTCATATTAACAAAATTAACAAATCTTAAGTCATTAAGTAGGGGGCACAGTGGATAGAGTGCTGGGCCTGGAGTGAGGAAGACTTTGGTTCAAATCTGGCCTCAGACACTCAGTAGCTGTGTGACCTTGGGCAAGTCACTTAACCCTGTTTGCCTCAATTTCCTCATCTGTAAAATGAGCTGGAGAAGGCAAAATACTTCAGTATCTTTGCTAAGAAAACCCCAAATGGGATCACAAAGAGTCAGACACAACTGAAATGACTGAACAAGAAGTCATTAAGTACCGTAAAAGATCCTGGAATCGGATCATATTAGAAGATACAATATCAGGAGTATCGTTTTACAGTATTTGCCCTAAAATTTTAAAAAACACTAACTCAGTCATCTGAATCACTGAAAAAATATAACACAAGGAATATTTTATACTAATTACATAATGGAGGTAGTTTGGTATAGCGGATAAACGGCTGGCCTGGGAGTTCAGAAGACTAGGGTTCAAGCCCCACCTCTGACACATAATAGCTGTGGGAGGTCACTAATTCTCACAGGTCCATAACATCTGGACTTCTTGGTCTATTGAGGCTAAAATCAAGTGACCACCTGCTTGGCCCCGCTCGTGTTTTCTAGATGCTTTTCCTAGAGTTTACCTCGTTTGTTCCCTACTTTTTTTGCTGTGTGTCCCTTTCATAGGTTCCACCATCTTGTCAACGTGCTCTTGATTTTTCATCAATGTTCCTTCAGTCAATATATCAAAATCGTGGCATGCTGAATTTTCCAGTTTCTATGTGGCCCTTCTGGTTTTAATCTTCTCTTACCTGATTCTATCAGCAACCACTCTCCTAACTTGTGCTGTCCTATACCTTATTCAGTATCCTGATTTGGTGATTTGCAACCTTTTCTGGATCTGTTCTGTGTAAAGCATTTCTACTAGTGTGATGCAAAGCCCCCTTGCCTTATTCCTTGTACTTGGTGATTGTTTTTTCATTCTGCATTATTGCAATATAAGTAAATTTTTTAAAAAAATATTTTCTCCCTTTTAAAAATAAATTTGTTTAGAATACAGTCCAACTAATAGTCCCTGTACCTTATTTGGTTTTATACAACATTTAGGCTTTTTTTTCTCTCTCAATCATACATACATATGTATATGTATATACATTTTTTGTTCTAGTTCAAAGGATGGCTGCTTTTTAAAATTAATACAATATTTTTTTAGTATTTTAGTAATATTGATATTTCCTTATTTTGGTGCTTGATATCATCACTAGTTAAGTCACATTTACTTACATATTGTTTTATGGTGGTTTTGTGTGTGTGTGTGTGTGTGTGTGTGTGTGTGTTACATAGAGTAAAGATATGATTATAGGGAGAGAAATAGGGCTAGAGAATTAGAGACAGATCTAGGGTAACAATGGTGATAGTAAATAAAGATAGTTGACTTTCTTTTCATTTTTTTTTTAAGGTAATTGGGGTTAAGTGACTTACCCAGGGTCACACAGCTAGTAAGTGTCAAGTGGTTGGTCTGAGGCTGGATTTGAACTCAGGTCCTCCTGACTTCAGGGTCGGTGCTCTACCACTGCGCCACCTAGCTGCCCCTCTTTTCCTTTTTAGTAATAGTGAAAAGGACTAGAAATAGCTGGTATAGGGAAAGTGAAATGAGGACAAATTAGGATAAAACATATAAACAAGTTTAGGTTATAGGTAGGGGAAGCTTATTTTAGTATTTTAAAAGTAAAATTTTAATGTGTTAAAACTAGATTTTTAATAGAGCAGCTAGGTGGCGCGGTGGATAGAGCAGTGGGCCTGAAGTCAGGAAGACATCTTCCCGAATTCAAATAAGGCCTCAGACACAGTTGCTGTGTGACTCTGGGCAAGTGTTTGCCTCAGTTTATTCATCTGTAAAATGAGCCAGAGAAGGAAACAGCAAACCACTCCAGTATCTTTGCCAAGAAAACCCAAATGGGGTCACGAAGTGTCAGACATAACTGAAACAAGTGAACAACAAAGACTTTTAATATGAGATTGACTCTTGAGTAATGGCATTTCAATTTGAATAAATTGAAGCAAATCAAGTTTGTCAGTGAATTACAAAAATAAAAGTCAATAACAGAGAAGATGAGAGGATGAAGTATTTAGTAAGAAAGATATTTTATGTGGTATTTTCTGAATCATGTATACTATTTGAATTTCATCTACTTTAAGATTTTTTTTTGATAAGTAACACTTCTGTACATGGGAGTTGGACTTTGTCAAAAGAATGTCTACTACAAGGAATCAATTTCATATTCATTATAACATAGTTAGGATTTTTGCCTTTCTTCAGATGTATTAGGGGATAATAGTTTCTTAAAATAATTGTCCACAGCAAACATACAAAACTTGAGGCAAGATTGGTTGGAAGATATTGAATACAAGAAAAAATATTTCAAGGACATTAGTATCCATTAGAAAACCCTTCCTGGGTGATGACCAGATGATTGAAACTTAACCCTTGAAGGACTGAAGGCATGAAAAGCAGAGATAAGTTTTTTTAAAAAACTGTTTAGGAATATGTCTATATCTGAGATAAAAGAAGTAGTTTGCCAAAAATGTTTAGGTAGTACATAACCTAAGGGTACAAATGGATTCTTTGCTCATACTAAGGTGTTTGGTTCAAGGAGAAATTTAGGGCCTTTAAAAGAACTTGGTAAAAAAAAAATTGTAATTCACTATTCCTTATGTCCCTTTACCAACTACTTCCACTAAGTCTTTTGACATTATATGAATTTTGAAGCAAAGAACAGAAAATCCTTTGTACTTTTAGTTTTAATCTTCTCAGGCTTAATTCTGTGAGTCTACAGTATTTGAGTTAGGAAAAATAGATGCCTTTTTATATGAATAATGGCTAGTATTTATATAGTGCTTTAAGGTTTGCAAAGCACTTTACATATGTTATCACATTTAATCCTCACAGCAGCTAGGAGAGGTAGGCATTATTATTATCTTCATTTTTCAGAAAAGGAAACTTAGGCAGACAGAGTTCAAAGAGATTTGCCCAGGGTCACAGAGTTAGTGACTGTCTAAGATTTCATTTGAACTCAGGGCATCCTGACTCCAGGTTCAGGGCTCTATCCTCTGCATCACAAAGCTGCTTCCTTCAGAATATTTCAAAGCATTTTATGTATACTTATCTGTCTTCTTAAACAGAATGTAGTAAGCATGGTTTTCAGATCACACAAAATCATTATGCACAGTGATGCTTTTATCATGCAGTGAGATGCATGGGGCTTCACCAAAGAATGTGAACTTGTGTAATAGTGTACTAGTTTCATAATCTCATGCTTTTTTGAACTCTTGCATCTACTTTTTCCATCTTTTTCTTTGTTATGGAGCTGTTGGCTGTGAGGTACAGAGTTCTGGATTTGGAGTCAGAAGATGAGGTTTAAATTCTTGCTCTCCCACTTACTACTTATGTGACTCGGACAGGGCATTTAACTTCCCTGGGCATCGGTTTCCTCAACTGCATGATGAGGTGCTTATTATATGACCTGAAATTCATTTTCATCTATAAATCTACAATCCTATGACATTGCTACTGCCAGTGTGTATGACTATGACTATTCCTCTCCCTTTTCTAATTTTTTTCCTTTATTCTGCTCAGAGTTTGGAAACTAAATAAGAGAGCTTTTGAAAACCCTAAAGAAGGCTCTATTCCTGAGAACAGAGGTCTCTATTCCTGAGGGGATCTACTAAAAGAGTAGATGTGATTTAATGCAGCTATTTTTGATGTCAAAAGACTTTTTCCCCCTATTTTTTGGTTCTCAACTACGTTCTAAATAGGTGATGTTGCTGGATAGCTAAGTTTCTTTAGAGGCAAGATGTCAAAAATCATTCAATATCAATACTCCATCGATCTTCTACAGATGTCAGCTATATCCCTCGTTAGATTAAAAATTAATTCCTTTAGTGTATCAGTTATGACATTGATTACTCGATGACTTACTTTTAAAGTTTCTTTTAGTTTTTTTAATGCTATCTTTTGCTTCTTTATCATTGTCATTTCTGAATATATCCCTTCCCCTTCTCTAGACTATCCCATTTGTAACAAAGAAGAAAAAAACACAGTGTAGTGAAACCAAACACAACTACTGTGTCTTAAAGAATATACAGTACTCCAAACCTATAGCCCTTAAACTCTGCAATGAAGGGAAAAGGTTTTATTTTTTCAACTCTTCTCCAGGACCAAGTTCGATCATGCTAATTACACAGCATTTCTGTTTTGTTGTTTTGCTCTCTTTACATTGCTGTCTATTGTTGTCTTGATTCTGCTTACTTAACTCTGCATCAGTTCATGTGAGTATTCTTACCCATCTCTGAATTCTTCTTATTCATCATGTCTTTTGATACAATAATGTTACTACATTTATCAACTACAACTTGTTTAGCCATTCCCTATCTTATGAGCATCTCCTGTTTCTACTTCTTTGCTACCACAAAAAGTACTGTTATGAATATTTTGTTGTATCTGAGATCTTTATTTATGTCTTTGACCTCCTTGGTCTATATGAATAGCAGTGGAATCTTTGGGTCAAAGAATATGGACATTTTGGTCACTTTTTAAACAGCAAATTGCTTTTCAGAATGGTTGGATGAAATTCATAGCTCCACCAATAGTATGATAGTATAACAACAACAACTAACATTTATGCAGCACCAACTCTGTGAGAGGCATTATGCTAAGTGCTTTGCAAATATTATCTCATTTGATCCTCACAACAACTCTGGGAGGTAGGTGTTGTTATTATCCCTATTTCACAATTGAGGAAACTGAGGCAAACAGAGGTTAAGTGACTTGCCCAGGGCCACACAGCTAGGAATTGTCTGAGAGCAAATGTGCACTCAAAAATCTTTTCTCCCTCCAGACCCAGCACTCTGTGCACTATGGTGCCACCTAGCGGC